AGCCTTCCTAAAAGAACATGTTTGTACAAGCAGATATACAACTACTGCATGTATATATATTTGAAGAACAATGAAATACAAGATGCAAGAAGCCCCCAAAATCATAGCTGAGTACCTAAAGCAACTGGCGGCCTGGGGGCCAAACCAGGCCCACCGATGAACTCAGTTTGAACTGCCAGTGAGTTCATTTTTGAATAAAAGTAGATTTTAAACCATTAAAAAAAACTTCCTTAATGACAATAACCGCTGGATGTCTGGCCCCTGAGCTCTTGGCTTTCATTAACTATGGCCCCATGAGCAATTTAGCTGAATAGTACAGACCCAAAGTTATATATTTGTTAAGCAATTTCTCACTCTCACACATTTTTGAATGTCTTTTTTTTTTTATTATTTGAGCTGGAAATATATTTTGGGGGTCTTATCCCACGGTGGGGAAACTTTAAAGGATGACAGAGTGCCCTTTGTGTATTATCAAAACCATCCAAACTGTCACCATTGGCATTTGATTGGAGTTTTGTATGGTGGGAACTTGTTTGCTAGTTTTGTTTGTTTGTTGTTACGGTCTTTTGGGGTGTGGGGGGAGTACTCCCACTCAATTGGCCTTGGGTTCCAGAGTAGCTAGAGGACAGGTCATACAAAGGCGCAGTTTGATGGGGTCATCGTTGTCACCATTCAGAGCTGAAGGGTGTGCCAACTTTGTAAATGACAGCTGCATATGGCTGCCATGTCCCGCTCTCGTCAAGTCACCGTGGCCTTAACTAACCACCAAAAACTGTATAAAAGATGTTTACAAATCAAAACTGAGGAGAATAGGCAAGAGGGTTGAAAGGAAGGGTTCTAAGGACAGGAGGATTTAAGAAGAACTATCGTCTAGCATTACAGGACCACCTTTTCTGGCGCTCTTGTTTTGGGAGTGCCTGTGTGTGGCTGGGCTGGTGAGAAACACCGTGGATTTACATAGTGGTCTGCGACTTCAAACGATGTGGCTGACATTTGAATGGGCTGCTGGTGGGAGACTCTGGTGGGGGTTTTGTTGCCATGCGGGGCAAGCCAAGAAAAGTGGGCACACAGCTTGTCCTGTTTATTGGGCCCACAGGTTACCATAGGAGCCCAGCACAAACTGAGTTCAGAAGGGACAAAGACAGTATGGGAAAAAACGACGGGGACTCTTCAAAATGAAAGCATAAGAGGGACTGTGTAGACTTAAACAGGTTCTGACTCACTTGGTGTCCAACTAAGAGGGGATGAAATAACTTTTATGAGTAATGCACTAATAATAGGGGGGTAAAGATCAAGTGCCATTTTGAAGACAGACTCGCATCATTTCGGCCTCTTACTCCGTCCATGGCAAGCAAGTGGCAAATGTAAGACAAGTGGTACAAGTTGGTTCTGATTACTCTTTATAAGGTTCCGCTTTACTACAAGGAACATGGAGCATGTGTAATTAAAAGACCAGCATTCCTTGAAGGAACACATATCGCCTGCCTCCTTTCATGACAGAGTTTTAATTGAAGATGGGCGCCACAGCCACATCTTGCAAGATGTGTTCGTGTTGAGGCTACGACATAAACTTAACCTTATTATCTGGAATTTTGTGCGTTATAACCATATTGTATTGGCAAAAGTAGATTAGTTGTAGCAGCCATCTTGAATTGGGTTCTCTCATAATGTCAATCAGTTGTAGATGTAGAACTTCTAAAAGGTGCGTTATAGGATTGACTCCAAAGGTCTATCAATTGTGCATTGAATAATCAGTTTGTGGGAGTTTCATTCAAATCAGTCCACTGCTTCGTGAGATGTTTTGCTAACAGCACAGACACACACACACAGAACATTATCACTCTGACAGCTTCTTTGGGGTGAGCGAAATAAAAGCTGCTTTAATCACGTTATAAGATTTTGTTTCTGAAATGGGCTGTCATCCTTTCACTGATCGATTAAAGGGATATTTCAGACTCTTTAAAGTGGGATTCTGTGAAAAGTCATGAACAACTGATATCTTACCAGTTGTAGATATCTCTTTAAATGGCCTCAGATTCTGACCAGAGCAACCAGGTTAGGGTTGCCTTCTTAAATAACTACAATCTCAATATTTAGTGTCACATCAATTCATACTGATGTTTACTTTAATTGTTTTAGATCAGAAATATAGTTAAACAACTCTTGACATAAGCCAAAATGACGTGAGACAAAATTATCTGCTCTTGTTGTATTGGACAAACAAAAAGGAGCTGACACACTGTTACACTGATGCAGGGTGATGATTAAAAAAATCCTAAAATAGACTCAAACAGCTGTAAATAAATTTCAAACAACATCCAACCGTAACACTGTCAGCCTCATGAGGAGTAAATGTTAGTTCAGCACACAGGGAACCAAAGAGAGAAGCCCTTCGCTCCTGACATGAAACACCTGTCTGGGCGAGTGAATACTGGGAAATGAATGAAGCCTCTGGGACAGAGGGAGCGCATGTGTGACTGTCTACAAAACCTGCGTAAATGGGTCATAAATGAGTCAAAGCTAAACCTAAATTGCAGAACTTTCCACTGTAAAGCGCACTTGGGTCAGGATTCAAACTGAAAAAGCACACGATCCGCTTCTGCCCACATAAATCCAACACGTTCTCCCCTCCCACAGCTTTCCCTTTCCCTGCCTGGCTCTGTGGTGGTTGCCCCGTCTGTCAGTCTATTTCCAGGCTCAGGGCCCAGCACCGAGGCAGGCAGGCAGGCAGGCAGTCAGTCAGGCGGTGTGGTGGAGGGCAGAGGGGTTGATGCGTGTGTCAGAGAGACGCTCTTCCACATTTCCCCTGGCGGCTGGCAGCAAGCCGGGCCTGCGGAGGGGGGTTCGCCTCTTTCTCACGACCTCTCAGGTTCCTGCGCTCATCTGGGAGCTATTCATTTCCTGCCAGAACACAGCCTTCCTCTGCAACTGCAAGAGGGGGGCTGTAAGGGGATGGGGGCAGAGGGAGAGGAGTTTGGCTTCCATATGAGTCCAGGGTTTGGTACAGCAAGCTCTGGGATTAAATCATAAAGCGCTCGCTTGTCTGGGCTGCAATCAAAGCCAGGCCCAGTGACGGCCTGGGAGAGAGATTCAGAAAGGGAGAGAGGAGAGTTGGCCATATGGTAGCACTTTACACAGCTAAGGAGGAAGCAGAGGTCTTTTTTACCCCCTCTTTTTTGCTCCCTGCATGCACGCAGAGTGTGGGAAAAGTTAATGGACATGCATGGCAGCTAACCTCCTAGTCGTGTTGTGACATGTGTGCGGTCACTCCAGCAGCTCGGCCGCTGCACCAGGTAATTGGAGAGGCTCGTAAAGCTGCTGTCAGGAGTGGGAGCGACCGCTGAAGGAGAAGGAGGAAAGTGGAGGAAAAGGCAGGCAGGCAGGGTGGGAGGGCTCAGCAGCTGGGTGCCGTCCAGGTCACACCACGTGCCTCCCAGACGTCCCGTGTCCAGCTGTGGCCCCGGGGCTCAGGGCAGGAAGCTCGACAGCAGTGCGAGCACAGCTGGATTGCTGTGGGAACATTTCATGCTTGTGTGTGTGTGTTTGTGTGTGTGTGAGGGCGTTTTGTAAAGAAGGTTTAAAACACAGGATGCTGACTGTTACCCTTCGTGGCAGGCCTCTCCTTGAACTCCCCCATCCCATTCAACTCCCCAGTGCCTCACCCCTTGTGCCCTTTAGCCAGACATGTCCACACCCTGCCACACACACACACAACATGCACACACAGGCTCGAGCGCACACGCAAAACATGCACACACAGGCTTGAGCGCACACACATGGCTCCAATCAAATCAGGATGCATGCACCCCCCCCCCCCCCCCCTGTAAAAAGGTGTGATGGAAATTCAAAATGATGGCACTTATCCACACTTTGTGCCTCTTAGCACAGTGATAATTGCAAACACCTGTAACCCCCCCCCCCCCCCGCCCACACACACCCCTTCAAAGAAAGGGCCACACTCGAATAGCTGGAGGGGGGCACACACACCTGGGCAGAGCAGAGCGCTACCACATGGCTCAGTGGCGATGTGTTTATCGTGTCATTGTTCTGTTGAGCCCCCCCGCCACCCCCCTGGCACCAGGGAACAGAGCCCTGATTAAAGACCTGGCCTGAGGCTCCAACTTGTTCTATACCATCAGATTAATGCTGCTGCTCCAGTGAAATGTGACTGAAAAGCAGAAGAAAGCTTGATAATGATCATGTTTGTAGGGGCTGGATCACTTCAGATTACTCACGGATTGTTCGAGTGAATATTTGGCTGTTTGCCTGACTGAACATATTTACCCAATCAAATCACAAGATTCCTCCAAATGTAAGTTATATTGAAATACTGATGATATCAGCATTAAAAAAAAAGTTCAAATGTGACCTTTAAACTAATGACCACGCACCTCTTTAAAGCTGTTAAATCTTATCAGGCCTCATCGACACCAACTCGTGCTGGACCTCATTGATCCACCGCCTCTAATCCGACTGCAGTGTCATTTTCTGCTGCTAGATGGCGGGAGTGACCTCTTTAAAACTTCAAACTTTCAGGAGGTCTCCAACAGCTGGACTGTCAGAGCTTTGAAACACCGAGGTCATTAATGTGTCCAAGCTTACTGATAAGTCTGTAGTGCAATTTCTAACAAGAAACACGTTTTTGGGATATATTCTGCGCATTTTGATGCATATTTTGTTTTTGTTTAGTTTTGCGCACAATAAAACTCACTGTTTTTAAGTTTTATTTGCACAACGGAGTAATTGCTGGGGTTGCAAGTTGCGTAAGTGAGGATTTTAATCTATTTTGATCTTTTGAAAAAGCACATTTGTCGAGTTTTAGCTGTCAGTCCACACAGAAAGGGTCATTCAGCAGGATGACAGGTCAGTTTTGGTTTTACGCATGCATTACGCACAGTGTTGCCTAATGTTGAAAGCTGTGATGAACTTTATGCTCTGAGAAGTACATCAGATTGTGTTTCTCCAACAAGCAGCACATGGAAAACTATGTCATGCTTTCATATTTTTACAAATTTATTTGTCTTCCAAAACGAAGAACATCATAAGAACATGTCTTTGGCGCCACAGTAAAAAATACAACTCAAATATAGATTTTTAAAAAATGCAGTGAACGGACTTCCACAATACAAACCCCATTTCAATATGAACTTTTACTCCCTTGTTAGCTGTACAAATATAGTGCATCTTTTCAATTTACAAGAAAAAATAAAAATAAAACTGGTTGAAAACAACTTTCTACCAAAGAGAAAACTAACAAACGAAAAGTCAGAGTCTTTGCTGTGGTCCTAAACTTTTCACCACGGTCTCCACACTGAGTCCGTGTTGGCTGATGGAGCTCCAGGGGAAACCGCAGCCGGAACCGGCACCGGCGTGCTGACGTTGTTGGCGTACACCGGGATCACGGGGCCGTTCGGCGCAAACGCCGCGTTGGGTATGAGGAAAGCAAACTGTCCGTCCGTGGCAGGCACGATTTGAAAGCCGCCGTACACTTTGGTGGCGTCTGGAGGTAAAGTGGGCGGCGAGGAGCCCCCTTTGCAGGACACCGGGTTCATGGGCAGGACCTGCGGGGACGAGTTGGGGATTTGCACCATGGACTGACCGAAGGAGGGATGCGTTGGCCCGGCGGCGGGAGGCAGTTGATGCTGGTGCTGATGCTGGCTGGGGTAATTCATGGCGTTGATTTGAGTCATGCAGCTGGCCAAGTGGCCCAGGAGGCGCGTCCTCACTTCAGTATTGACGCCTTCACAGGTGGACAGAAACCGCGTGACTTCATTCATGCACTCACTGAAGCCCGCGCGGTATTTTCCCAAGACGGTGGGGTCTGTGTTCAGCGCAGCTGCACAGAAACAGACACGTAGTTTTAAATAAACTCTAGTCTGGAAGCAGGTTCATGGATTTAAAGTGCAAAGAGAAAGAGAGATCAGGTTGAGAAGTTCTGCTTACCCGTCATCTGAGCCCTCTGGAGGTTCCGGAGGTGTTTGACCGTCATCTCCAGGATGTCCGCCTTCTCCAGTTTAGAGTGTCTGGAGCTCTGAGGGACGGAAAGCACACCTGGTTAACATCACGCGCTCACTTTCACTCAAGATACTGAGCCCATCCAGGTACTTACATCTTTTTTCAGGGCATCCAGGATGAGAGTTTTCAGCTGACCCAAGCTTTCATTGATTCTGGCTCTTCTCCTCTTTTCCATAATCGGTTTTGAAGACTGAAAGTAAACCAACAGTGTTAATCCCCTCAGTTCCCGAGCCAAATAAAACCCATTAAGACTGTCTGATTGTAAGACACCAACCTTTCTATGCTCAGACGCTGTCTTGGGTTTATCCGGAGTTGTGTTCATGCTTGCCGGAGTTGCAGCAACCGGAGAGGATGAAGATTTTTCCATCATGTCGGCGGGCATCTTTTTGAAAATTAGAAATTTCCCACAAAGCCACAACAAAATAGGATCCACTGGTGTAGGGGGTGTGTGCAAAGGATGCTGTTCAAAAGTCCCCAAAAGGAGTCCTGAGATACAAGTTAGAATCCGTCGGAGCGACGCGCAGCAGCAGCCACCACGAGCGCGCGCAGCCTCTGTGAGGCTCTCCGCGTGTGCCTCGTATTTATATCTCTCGCCGCACGCGAACGGCTCGTGTGAAACTTCCCAAACTTTCTTTCCCACAGTAACTTTCAGCCAATCAGAGCGAGGGACACGCGGCCCGAGGGAGGACGGCTCGTGGTCGGCGCCCTCCCATTGGTTGTTTGGCCGCTGGAGCTGTCCGGTTCAGGGCGCAGCCGGGGAAACTGTCTGCAGCCTTCAATCATCGCGGCGTTTACACATTAACAGCGCGGGCACAGGGACAGACACCACATAAAGCAGGGAAAGAAAACAAAATAGGGATAAGGATGAAATTAATCAAAAACACACTTGGCATTTTCCTCCATACATCCTGCGTCAACTTCTGGGGCAGAGTAACTTTGAGTTTGAACTTTAATGGAATAAAGGATTTTCCTATGAAAAACCAAAAAGCCACATGCATGTTGAACATAAAAAGCGCACGCTCCCGCCTCCACATTGCACCACTTCTCCCGAGTCTGTGGCGCAAAGTTTTTGCCACTTAATCATCTGTCGGGGCTGTGAGTGTGGAGCACGTGCCAGGATGTTTTATGAGCGCGCGGTGGTTTGGAAGTTTTGGCCGCCGGGCTGCCGGGGGGCCGCCGGGCCGGGGGTGGAGGAGGACCAGGAGGAGGAGGGGGTGGTGGTTTACATTAGAGGGGAAGGTAAATAGCAGCTGCTGTTTTAAAAGCCTGGGAAAACCACGCCTACAGACAGAGCTGGATCGGGCTCCCTTATCGGAATGTGAGCCAGAGCGGAGATATTTCTGAGCCTGCAGAGCTCACACGATCACACCGACGCCTCCTCCTCTTTTTTTTTTTTTTTTTTTTAACCTCCCCCTTCCCGCCTGTGGCCGCCCCACAGCGTTCAAGGCTTTTGTAGATATCAGGTCATAATTTCATTTCCTTATCTTTACTGCACTCTGAGCAGACGAGCAGCATAAAGAGTGAAATAATGCCAACAATTGCCTCTTGAAGGTTTATGGAGCAGCAGCTCGACATTCTTCAGGTTGTGCAACTTGCAGGCACAAACAGGACACATAAAGTTGCGCTCCTTAAGCCTTCATAAGTTTAGGGGTCATGTGCGTATTTAAACTCTTTGATGTGATATTTTATGCCCCCCCCCCCCCCCCCCCCCCCCAATAAATCTTTGCTCCTTTAAAATATAAAAGTTTAGTTCCTGATTAAAGTTTGCTCACTACTGGTGTCAACATTTCCTCTGCGTCTTTCATAAAGATAAAATCATGTCTAATGTCGGATTCTGCCGCTTGCTGCAGCTTTATGTTGTTATCTGAGCGCGTCGTTGGTTCTCGGTTGCGCGCACACCTCCAGCTGGTTGAGCAGACCGCGGACACGTGGCGCGCAGGCGACCGGGGGAAGGCGCTCCTCTCGCCGGCTTGCCGCCTGGATCTGCGGGGCGTCTCCAGCCGCTGGCCGCAAGACCGTGCGTCTGATTGGGGGGGGTGTGCACCCGGAGCTGCGCCTCACGATCTCCAGGGAGCAAAGGGAAGTTGTTTTAGTTGCAACGAGGATGATTTTTGTCTCACTTCAAATAAGGTTTGAGGAACTGTTAGTGCGCCTGAACCAACTTTACTTTTACATTTCCTCCCCGTGCGTAACAGCGCTGCCTCTGTCAAACACACCCTCAACAGGTTCTGTTGTTGAGATCTGCACACCTGACCCCACCCTCGCTCTCTCTCTCTCTCACACACACACACACACACACACACACACACACACACACACACACACACACACACACACACACACACACACACACACAGTTCCAAAACAAACGCACTGATGATCTGCAGCAGACAGAGTGCAGGTTTTTGAAACGCTCTCCGCCTGAACGACTTTCTCACGCTCATGTTGCAAGAGGTCTCCGGCAGTGAACCGGGTCCCAGAGCCCTGGCTCTATCAGCCCCGCCCTTTTTACCTGCAAGCTGACCGTCTTATCGGGCGCACCTGGACGCCCGTCGGTCCCTGGAGTGTTGCCGCAATGTATAAGTAAAGAGAATCTGTGGGAAACTGGAAGAACATCACGTGGTTTTCTTTTGTTTACAAAAAGAAGAAAAGAAAAAAGAAGCTTCAAATGGAGATAAAGAATTATTATGGTTGTCTGCAGTAGTTAGAAAACAACAAACAGGATGTAAAAGTATAAAATTCAACCCTCATCCTTCCTATCAGCTCTGTCTTTTATCTCACCCCTTCTCCACCCATTCTCCTTTTATCTCACCTCTTTCCTCTGTTCAGTCTTTCCCAGGACTCCTATCTTTATTGGCCTTTCTTGTCTGCCACATGCACTGCAATAATGCAATTAGCCAAGGAGATTGTGGGGGCAAAGTGTGGTTTTGTGTGAGAACGCAAGAGTGAGATATTGCAAAAGCAGCATGCTGTCACATTTAGTGTGCAAACTATTGACAACATGTTCAGGAGTAAAAGGTGTCCACAGCTTAAACGAATGTTGGTTGAAGAGGGACCCTGGCTGCAAGGCCTGGAGGAGGCACCATGCTGCCACAGCCAAACTGAGGGTGGCACTGTGTGGATAGAGATTGTGGGGGTCTGACTTGACTTATCCAACAGTCCAACAAGTCAGGAAAAATCCAATCATTTTTTTTTCTCCAGAGGTGAGCGTCCAACTGTGTGCAGACAACGATTTTGTACTTCAGCTCAGATAGTCCAAAAGAAAAAGAAAGAAAGCTAAAGACACAATGCTGTGATACACAGATATTTAAAATACACAGTAAAAGCACATTATTTAAGCACATTTAACAACAACAAAAACGTCAAGGTTCTTTTTAGTTGGCAAACTTTCAAACCAAACTAGTCCCCTTCATAGGATTTTCTCTGTCTATAAAATAATTTATTTACATTTTGAAAACAAAAGTGGACTAAATAAAAACCACTGATGTAGAAAACACTCGTGAGCACATGGACATTCGATGAGATGACATTCTCAGAGTTTCACTGTGCAGGGCAAATTTGACTCATCTGACTGATCATACGAGTGACCTCTAGTCAATATTAACCAAATTGTAAAAAAACTAAAAGAACAACCCTAATTCAAGTATGCCTGTGCTTGCTTTGTTCTGTTTATGTGCATTTAATGTGTGCCTTCTGATTAGCAATGCCCCTTTTTTCACTGATTTATGACATTTCACAATTATTACAACAGCCAGACATATTTGTTTGTTTTCTCTCCAAATCCTTTTTTTTTTCTTGTGGTAAATTGTCAAAAGTTTCCTCCATAATGAGTTACCAACTTTTGGAAAAAAAAATAACTTTCATTATGAGACTACAAGAAGCAGATTACAAATCAGACAGGAAGAATAAAAAAAAAAATACAAAAGACACTTCTGGAAAAGTTAACTTTGAGGGTTTTAATTTTTTATTTATTTATTTATTTTTAACATGTTTTTTTCCTGGGCAGCACGGTAGCCTAACTGGTAGAGCTGCTGAATCTCATCAAGAAGGTTGCCGGTTCAAATCCCAGTCCGGGGCCCTTTCTGGGTGGAGTTTGCATGTTTTCTCCTTGCATGCATTGGTTTTTTCCAGGTACTCCAATTTCCTCCCACAGACTAAAAACATGAATGTTAAGCTGATTGGTAACTAAATTGTCCCAAGGTGTGAGTGAGAGAGTGAATGGTTGTTTGTCTTTATGTGGCCCTGTGATGGACTTGCGACCTGTCCAGGGTGTACCCTGCCCCGCATGGGCACCGGCAGCCCCTGTGACCCAAAATGGAAGAAGCGGGTAAAATATAATGGATGGATGTTTATTCCTTTTCTTGTTAACCAACTCATGCAACTGTGCAAATAAAGTTGCAAAGTGAAAAAAAAGTGATGTTTCTGCTGACTGTAGTGGGCAGTAACCCTTAATGGTGATTAGAGGCGCTTCAGAATGATAAAAGAAAATAAAACATTTACCACTTAAATTGCTTTTATACCATTCAGTGGGATTTATAAAGGCAGACTCTACAAAAAGATACATGTTTTAAAACATAAACCCCAACCTCTCATCTTAAATATTCCACTTTTAAATTCAAAAAGCCCTTTCAAGGAAGCAGAAACTATTACTTGCACTTGCTTTAGACAAAAACAAAAACACACACGCACACACAACGTGCTACATCTACATAAAATCTACAAATAGCTTTGCTTGGAATCTCAAACACCACCCACCATCAGCCAGAGTGACCCATCACCCAAGCTGCTTGCTGGGTCACAGTTTACAGAAGGCTGCGTGGAAACGATTAGCACTGACAACTTACAGAAAACCATACCAGAGTCTGTTTCACGGACTCCAAAGTGTGTTAGCGAGGAACATGGGGAGTCAGTGTAAGTGTCTGTGTGTGGGTGGGTGGGTGCGTGTTCACAAACATCATCCCAGTGTGGAATAAATGTGCGTTGTTAGTGGGAGTGGAGTAGGACCTGTGCTCAGCTGCTGTTAGCGAGGCCAGCCAAGGCTTGGAGAGCAGGATCAAAGCTGGGACAAAGCGAGAGGAGGAGAACTGACAGATCCTCCGAGCAGAGAGAACAGAAGGAGTGGAGACGAGAGGAGATGAGGGGGTTTTGGAGGCTGTCCAGATACAGACGCACACATCTCTCCTCACACTTACACAGTAAGGAGCCCGGAGCAGCCTGGGAGCAAGGAAAACAATAAGTACAGTGGAGATGCTCACACTTCCCTTTTGCAGTACACACACACACACACACACACACACACACACACACACACACACACACACACACACACACACACACACACACACACACACAT